TCGGCCCACCACCGAATGCCAGACGCCATGAGGGATACCGAAGGGCTTTAATCATTTCCTGACAAAACCTGCACTCTTCATGAAGCTAGTACATGCATCAAATAGACAACAAACACACAATAAGCTACCCAAGCAGACAACAATAACAAGCATGTCAATCACAAGAATCAATTCAAAATTCTTATGCATGATCTAATTTTCACAATGGGTAGACACTTAGTTTCCATATTGGCAGGATTAAGCCAGAATGCAATTTTTCAAGATGAATTAAAGATTTAGACACAATATTACGTATGAAATGGAACCTAACGTCTATATTCTTAGTGCGATCATGAAAAATAGGATTTTTATACAATTGAATCTCCGATTGACTATTGGCAAGCACAACGACATATTTTTCAAGAAAACTAATTCACATAACACGCCTTCAACCAGAAAAGCTCTTTCAACCAGACAAACTCATACAAGTAGTGTGAAGAACAAAAAGAGAGATATGGTCCCAACTTCAAGAACAATGGTAGTAGGTGATTTTCACACACGTCTCCTTACCAAGGAAAATCATCTGCTCATAAATACACATTACAATCAAGACATGCACTATCATTAAATAAGGAGATAAAATTAAGAGTTAGAAAAATAGATTAGAAAGTAACCGAATAAATATTGTGCATGTATTTTTTTTTTTTCCATTTAAATGTCACAAAAAATCTGCAAGAATGCCTAAATGATGCAATAAATTGCACACAAAGGAAAAAAATAAATCACAAAAAAACAAAATATTTGTAGAAGCACGTAATCGCATTTAGTCTAAATTTTTGAAAAATCTTTCAAATTAGTCCTTATAATTGCCAACACTAAATAATATTAGGCGAATGGTCAAGAGTAAGAGAAATGTCATATATTTATAATAAAATAATATTAATTCCATGCGACACTTTTTAGTTAGTAATATTCGTAATCAATCCACTCTTTCATGTCACAAAGACTTCTACATCACATTTCTCTTTACAATAACATGAATATTACATCAAGATATCAATTACCTCAATACTTTGTGACATAATCGTCCCGTTTAATGAACTTCCGTACCCTGTTTCACTTACTAACAACTGCAATATGAAGAAGTCAAGCCCATTTGTTTGGGGAACGGTTATCCGACTATGAAAACACACAATATTAGTTTGTTTGTTGCACTTACATAAACTTTATGATATGTCCGACCTTGTGCAATAGATGAACTGACATCACTCAAGAAAGCAACGACTGCTAGTAGCTTTCACACCTCACGCATATTCTAAACACGTAACTTGTTTCAAATGTGATTACAAATAAGACACTTCATGTGGTAGTTGCTTGATGCCCATTTTGTGAGTGTTACTCTTTCACGCAGAGCTGCAAAAATAAAGAATTACTTAGTAAAATAAATCAAGCTTCAAAAAAAGTCGAGAGCACCCATGTATATATTTAAAATAAATTAGTGGTGCAATTATGTAATGTGGAAAATGCCTAATACAATAAATCTACATTATTCGTGCAATATAATATTGTGTACTTATATATAATACAATACACACAATATAGTGTAACACACAAATAAATCACATAATGCATATTTCTAAGGATTTATTTAGAGATAAAAAAATATTGAGAGTTCAATGCTTTTGTGAAAATATCAGCGAACTGATTTTGTGTATGTGCATGATCAAAAACTATGATCCTAACCTCAATTAAATGTCAAATAAAATGATATTAAATGTCACTCTGTTGACGCGGTGTTTGGATTTAATTATAGCCCTAGTTTGAAAACACACACACACACACACACAAAAATGAATGTACCTCCTCAAGGAGGTAATGAAGTAGAATTTGCTTCATCCACACAAGTTGAGAACAACAACTCTCAGCAGCAGAGAGATACTCAATAGTAGAAGGTGACATATTGCTCTGTTTCATACCAATGTTGGTATATGTGATAGTCACTCTTGCTTTTAATGATCTCCGCATAATCAGCTTCACTCATCTATAGATTCTTAACCTTATAGCAATTTTCAACTGATTTTATCTATGTAAGAACACTCTTGTCATCTCTAAAGATCGAAAATTTATTGTGAGAAATAATAACAAGTAGATGTTGATCACACAATTGACTAATGCTTATCAAAGTAGTTTTCAAGTTCTCAATTAGTAAGATGTCTTTCAGTTTAGTGATGACCTCAATATTTGAAATCAAATATCAATCACTTTATTGCTCGAAATTAAATCCTCTTATCTTGCAAGTGTCCATGCACGAATATTTTCTCTATATTTATCAAATTTAACAGCGTCTCTTTTTATTCATTATTGTGGAGCTTTATTCAATTTTTTCCTCGCGAACTCTTGATAATATATTGTGCTTGATTTTTTCCTTCTTGGTCAATTTTCAAGCTCTCTCTATCTCAATTTTCATCTCTTTTTCTCATTTGAGTCTCGTTTTTCTATTATCTCATTGCTTTTTCTTTTCCTACAAGTAAAAGAAAGACAATTACATACATCCCAAAAATTATAGTAAGAAAATATTAATACTATATAAAGATAATATGCATGAAATCTCATAATAAATCTTTTGCTCCTCTTGCTCTTTATATTCTCCAATATCAATAATTTTTCAACAGGCTAAAAAAGATAATTAATTAGAAATATATAATAAGAGAATAACTAACATATAGAAAGTCGAGAGAAGAAGATTCTTCTTTCCCTTCGTATAATAATTTCGTGTTTTCTATTTCAAAAAACATAAACATGGTAAATAAATATTTTTTTTTTTGAAACTCTAGAATTTATTGCTCCAAAGAGAATGTACAATAGTAGGAGGCTAACTAGCCTTAAAAAGCAACCAATCAGTTGAAATAGAGGACTACTAAGAGAATCCTAAAAACTAAAGAAAAACACAATAAGAGTAGCATTCTAGCTAACGACAATTGACCAAGGCAAAGAATCCGGAAGCTTAAATCTATTCTTGCGAGCAAAAGCAGCACAAAGCTTAGACAAAAGAGATCTTGCAACTGATCAAGGATCCCAAAAGGATCCAACTACCCAAAAAGACTAAGGATGGAAAAACAATACAAAAAGCAACTATAGACAACTCTAACTAAAACAACAAACAGAAGAACACTAAAAACTGCAACTAAGGAACTTCAACCGATCAACAAGAGCAATGTTAACTATTGACAACTATGACCTCCAGATATTATGAAATACCCACAAATTCCTTGCCATCTAAATCCACCAAAGTATTAAGCTATGAGTTGCAACCTAGATTCAGATAGGGCAAAATGATGAAGAAGCAGATCTTTGTCCACCAATGCTTGATATTATCAAAGTATTGGAGAATATCATCTTAGTATAGAGGTGCCATATCTCAAATCCTTTTTCTTTTATGCAAGTGAAGAATAAGTGCTCAGTAGTTTATAGGGCTTCCCCACGAGCTTTGGACAAAGGATCAATCATCAGCCCTTTTTTTGACATGTTCTAATTGATCGGAAGAATATTTGCTAGCACTTCCAAATGAAATACTTGACTTTACTTTTTACTTCAGCTTGCTCCCTGCTAGTCTCTGCAATATCCAGAAGCTTCCATTTTTCACAGACCAAGTAAGCATTGGTTGAAGCCGCATACTATTCCCCATTTTTCCCACAGTGCCACAACAATATGTCCTCAGCATTAGGGTATAAATCTTTTATACTTAAGATAGCTTCTTGTTCTTATTCAATTAAGTTTCTTTGCAGGAGCTCTCTGTTCCGATGTCTGTCTATGTTATCCAATAGATCTTATACCCAAGTTAGTTCTCTATTTAACTATTCTCTGGAAGTAAATAAATATTACTTTTGATTAATGTCAAATTTTAATTTCTAACAGAAATCAAATTCGTCTCGTTTATCAAATGAACCAAGAAGAACCGATGAACTTATGAACCACTCTTTCTATTTATCAGTTCTACGCATATGTAAGAGTATTAATGATAATATAATATTGTCCTAATTGTTAGAATAGTTATAAAATATAATCCACAAAAACAGTGCTTACTCGACTGTTAGCTCCACGTACTTATAGTTATTGTATAATTATTTAAAATGTATCTTTGTTGAATTTCACCTTACAACCGTGCTTTATTAATATATATAAGGTTCCCTATACTGTCGAGGGTAACATTTTTCACATTTGTCCCTCTAATTTTTTTGTTGATCCAAGCTACACGAATGACTTCATAGGTCTAATTATTATATTTACATATTAAAAGAATTTATTAGACCATAAGATTGAAAAGGCAAAAGGCTTTTTCATTTTTTTATAATTCCGAAGTCCAACTATTGTGCCATCATTTACGTGCAAATTGGTAAGCTGCAAAGCAAATAATGATTGATCGGAACTCGTAAAAAATTTTAAAATAATCTAGTTTACGAAGTACTGTGTAGAGAAAATTAACATCAATAAATTATATCCTGTTCCTTTTTTTTTTCTATTCTTTTTTATTTCTAGGACTGAATTTTATACCCGAGCATAGTGAAAAAAAAAAAAAATCGGTTCGGTTATCTTTTGCAGAAACTGGTTCCGTTTTCCGATTCCTATTCTATATGTATTTGTATTAACTGAATAACCGATTATACATCCACAAAATGTATGGTTTACTTATTTCATAGGAACTAATTATCGGTTTCGATTCTTGGTTTTATGATTCGACTCTTCATATTTGAAATATTGTTGTTCTCAATTTTCGATGAAATTTTTTATACGTAGGTTGTAATTTTTTAAACGCTTGTTAACGCAAAAACTATTATTATTGATCTTTTTCACAATTCAGTTACCCAATAAATCTGATTAATCGAATTATTGTGCGGTTAAGTTCCTGCAAAATACACTATCTTAACCAAATTAATTTTATTAGTTCGATTCCAGTTTCATATGCTACAAAATATGCACAAAATATAATAGGAATTGGACCGATTCTCAAACCCACTTCTTTNACTTGTTTTATTTTATTATTATTTGTTATATAAAAATTACAATCCTTACCTTTGATCCCTTAAAGCTGAAGCCCTTTATAAGGCAGTACCTCCGGCAACTGCTTCCTCCGCCAATGTCCTAACTTTACGTGTAATAAGCTCACACAAAAAGAGCCCAAAAAAAAAAAAAGAATTTAATTAGAGAGAAAAATAAAATAAAATGACTCTTGAGGCAATATATCAGCAAGACCCGTTTATGTATGGTTACAGGGATTATAGTTACAATATGGGTTTTGCCGGCTACCATGAAAATAACCTGCCGGAGGAGGATAACGGCCAGCCGGTCCACAACGCCGGGAACTGGGACTCGCCGCCGACGACCCACAACAGCAGCTCGTCGTCGGAGGGGACCTGCGGCGGAGGGGACGGGTTCTTCGGCGGCGCCGGAGGAGAGGTCATGTATGAGGCGGCGGGGGTGGAGGCGGGCGGCGGCGCGCGGCGGAAGAGGCGGCGGGCGAAGGCGGTGAAGAACAAGGAGGAGATGGAGAATCAGAGGATGACCCATATTGCCGTCGAGAGGAATCGCCGGAGGCAGATGAATGATTACCTGGCCGTGCTCCGGTCACTCATGCCGCCGTCTTATGCGCAGAGGGTATGAAAAGATTGCATCAAATTTTATATTTTCTTAATATGAGAAAATAAAAAGAATTGGGGATTTTTTGTCCTGATGAGTTTGTTCGTTTTTATTTCGAAAATGTTCGGTTCCATTACATTATTAACAATTAAATATTCTTAATTATTAATTTTGGACTCAATTGATTAAAGATAGGATACAATATATTATAGTGCGACATTTCATGAAATCAAATTACAGAAACATAATTCGGAACTAGAGATCTCAAACCAGGAATAATAATTAAGGACATGACAATGGTTTATGACTTATTAATTAGTCTGATTATTATTATTTGAAATTTACCCCAGTTACTTCAAATTTTATTTATTTAATATTTGATTTACTCGCATTTGAAACTATTGTAAAAGCATAAATATATATAATTCAAGGTGAGTTTCATTAATTCAACCTATCCGTGTGGGCACTTGACCATTAGATCAATATTTACCAACACCAATGTATTATTTCTTGTGCTGAGACGATTAAAAACCATATCCACACCCTTTTAGAGTTGAATTATGTATTTTTAATTGTCATTTGAGAGTCAAAGTATATAGTTTATCCGCATTTAGACATTTTGTAAACATTAAGCAAGACTAAATTACGGAGTAGTAACTAATGTCAACTTTACATAGACTTTTTACCCAATACTTAAATCTATTTAATTGTTTATCCAACTAATTAATTAAATTAATATTTAAATAGGGCGATCAAGCGTCAATAGTCGGTGGCGCCATAAACTTCACAAAGGAACTGGAGCAACTGCTCCAATTCCTGGAGGCCCACAAGTTGACCGGTCAACACCCGAGGATGGTCAACGCCGCGTCAACCATGTTCTCCAACTTCTTCACCTTCCCACAGTACGCGATGAGTCAGCAGGCGGCCGGCGCCGCCTCCTCCTCCGGCGAGGGCGCGGTGGAGAAGCGGTCGGGAGTGGCGGACATCGAGGTGTCAATGGTGGAGAGCCACGCGAACGTGAAGATCCTGTCGAGAAGGCGCCCCAAACAGCTCCTTAAGATGGTCGCCGGATTTCAGTCTCTCAGCCTCACCATTCTTCACCTCAACATCACCTCCGTTGACCACTCCATGCTCTACTCCTTCAGCGTCAAGGTCAGTTGCCAAATTACCCTTTTGCCCTTGCTCCTATTTCATTTTCTCTCCTTGGTAAAATTAAGATGGATAAGGCCCGATCCGAATTTTGTAATTTTCCAATGAAATATATGTAAACAATGAGCACCGATCCGTAATTTAGGTTGATATGTTGGACCATTTTGGGAAATTTCTTATCGAAATAGATGTACATATTAATTTCAAATTGTGCAAGCAATGATTAATTTAATTAAAACTTGTTTTAAATTAAATTAAATTAAATTAAATTAAATTGCAGGTTGAGGATGAATGCCAGTTGAGTACAGTGAACGAGATAGCCACGGCGGTGCACGAGATGATGGAGATGATCCAAAGAGAGTACCAATCCAACGGCGGACACGCTGCCACATGAGCCGGTGGCAGCTAGCGGCGGATATGGAATTTATTTTGTATTTTTCGTCATAATTATTAAACGGTGGAATATATTTAAAATTGTTGTTGCCAAGTGTCTCAGCATGCCCCTATTTCATGTGCACCGTTTGTGTGTGTGTGTGTGTCTTTTTTTTTTTTATTTTTTTTTTAANTGTTTGTTTGGGAACATGGGCTACCCAACCTGGTTTTAGGTTTTTCAGAAACATGCGTCCTTATGTGTATGAAATCAATTGGTGGATGGAAATGAAAATGCCTAATTAAGTGTAATTTGGTCTGTATATCGAAGATTTATGGTGTGAGGACTTATTGATTTAGCTACGTTAGTAATGATTGTTGGAATAATGGATAACGAATTTATTGAAAAAGATCATTGAAAACGGAGAGAATATCGTGAGGAATTTTATAGGTGATGGTTTTTCATGTTAAAGTTAAATTTTAAATTTAAATGGAAATATTTGAATTTAAACATACAGAATACTTGATTTCAAATGTGTTTTATATAATTTTAAGTAAACTATTTTAGTAAATAAGTAAAACAATATTGACGTGCACGTGAAGAGTAATTATATAATTTTAAGTAAACTATTTTAGAAAACCATTTGTGTTTTATATAATTTTAAGTAAACTATTTTAGAAAACCATATTGACGTGCATGTGAAGAGTAATTATATTATATATTTTAAAATAATAATGACTTGTATATAAAAATTAACAATAATTAACCTTTCTCATTATATACTAAAAAAGGAGTAATTCTATTAACTTTGTTTACAAAATTATAACAAAATTGAATATGACAATTAAGTTTGAGAGTAACATAAGAAGGTGAAATAATATAGCAAAAAGAAAAATAAAACTACCATAAATTAAAGTAAAAAATAAAGAAATATGAGTGAAAAATTTTATTTATATTACTAAACGATTTATAAGAAAAATTATTAAGCTACGAGCTAACACTAGTAAGCTCGGTCTAAGTAAGTTGGCCCTACAGGCTTTGAAGTTTTCCAAACCAAAAGTAGACTCTAAAGAAAGGATTTTTATATATCTTTTATTTCTCTTTTTTATTCTTATGACCAAGACTATGTTTGATAAAAATAGATGAAAATTCAACTAATAGCCACTGAGTTAATTGATAGTTAGTAAGTGAATTTCGAGCTTTAACTGATATCTTATGGTTGGTGACTGAAAACCTAGTTGATATAATTGATAAGTCAGCTGAAATAAAATCAATGATAAGAAACTCATGATATAAACTCCAATTTTTTCAATAAGTTTATTTAAAAAGCTATAAGTTTATGAAATAAATTCCAACTTTTTTTTAAAAAAAAAAATCCTTCCCAACAAATTATATTTATTTGAATACAGAAAAATTATAAATTAACTGAATATAAGCTATGTTATGATGCTTAATAAACACTACAAATTGATATGGAATTGCAGAGTTGGGCGTGACTGAGTATCCCTAATTATTTGTGAAATTATAAATTAACTGAATAATAAGCTATGTTATGATGCTTAATAAACACTACAAATTGATATGGAATTGCAGATTTGGGCGTGACTGAGTATCCCTAATTATTTGTGACATCCGCTTCAAAACAAAGCCCAACTTGGTGGTAAGACGCTTTATCTATGACCGATAGGTCATGGGTTCGAGTCCCCGAAGAGGAAAAGTAAGAACACTACTAATCCTATTTTAAATAAATAAAAAAAAAAAGATATCCGCAGGCAAATTTTCATGGTTAAATTGTAATTTTCGGTCAAAATCTGCTAAACCAAATTATTGATGAACTTAAAATGTTACTTCTTAATTAGTGAACTAATTTTGCCTTACATGAAAATCTAATGGACAAATACTGTCTTTCTTCCGTCAAAACCATCTAATGCTTTGTTATTGGCAAACAAAGTAATCACAAAATAGTTTTGTGCAGAGACACGTCGGCCTAATAATTAGATAATCTCACATTTATGTTGGGTGTTATAATGTGATTTCTTTCTTTTGTTCCAATGAACAACTAAAACTTAGAGAAAATATAATGTATAATGATGATTGATGCATAAGAATTGTGAAAAAAGTAGTAAATAAATAAAAAATTATGCAGCAGCCTCATCAACCGGTATCAATTATTTCACGTACAATCAATATATGAAAAGAGCATAAACAGTACAATACATATTATGCTATGCGTCAAATAATTTAGTGCGAGCAGATATATATTGTGCTAGCATGACTGATATTTATATATTGTGTGATCCGATGATTAGAAATAAATTCACCTTTTTAAACATTAGTCAAGCCGTAGGTAGAAACATTGTTGGGCCCATTCAAAACTTCGTGATTTGCATTATGATGACTGGAGAAGAAAATGTGTGACAGCTTATGCTAAGAGCCTGATAGGAGAATCTATTTG